TATATCAAGGCATTCAATTCAGGATACAATGAAAGATTTAATTTAGTGCTTTGTGTGTCGCACAAACTAGTGGCTATCTAGACTTGACAAAGCTTTAAGCGTTTCACGATAGGTCTCCGTATGAATATAATATCAACTCGGTGATCCATAGGTACATCTAACTGAGGAGTAGCAGTAGTAGTAGTACTTACTTACGCCTGTAACCCCCAATGGAGCATAGGCCGCCCACCAGTTTTCTCCAACCAACTCTGTCCTGGGCTTCCCTTTCCAGTTCTGTCCAATTTTTGTTCATTCCTCTCATATCTTTCTCTATTTCTCGGCGTAGTGTGTTCTTTGGCCTTCCTCTTTTCCTTTTGCCTTGAGGGTTCCAAGTGAGGGCTTGTCTTGTGACGCAATTAGGTGCTTTTCGCAGTGTGTATCCTGTCCACTTCCACCACTTCTCCCTGATTTCCTCCTCCACTGGAATCTGGTTTGTTCTCTCCCACAGTAGGTTGTTGTTGATGGTGTCTGACCAACGAATCCGAAGTATTTTGCGTAGACAACTGTTACCAAACACTTGTATCTTCTGAATGATGGCTTTGGTAGTTCTTCAAGTTTCCTCTCCATACAGTAGAACTGTCTTGACATTTGTATTGAAAATGCTGATTTTGGTTTTGGTTGAAAGTTGTTTTGAGTTCCAGATATTTTTCAACTGTAGAAATGCAGCCCTTGCTTCGCAAATCCGCTCCCTCACATCTGCATCGGATCCACCTTGGTTGTGGATGATGCTGCCCAGATATGTAAAGGTGTTCACGTCCTCCAAAGCATCTCCATCAAGAGTGATTTGTTTGGTGCATGTTGTGTGTTGCATCGGAGAATCTTACTTTTTCCTTTATGTATGTTGAGACCTACTGCTGCAGAGGCTACTGCTACACTGGTCGTCAGTAGTAGTACAAAATACAAATTTTAATTTCCATTACTTTTACTACTCATCACTATCTAAATTTACTTATATAAAACGCAATTTTTTTTATGGTAAACCAAATATAGTTGAATTATGCGCGTGCGCGCGCACCCACACACACAGCAATCTATGCAGTAAAACAAAACTCAGCACATCATACACAATATGGATCAAAGATACAAAAATACTTTTTTTTTCTCTAAGAAAAAAAAATTGCAAAAATATATTCTTCATCTTTGAATCAATAATGATGTGCTCTCTATCTATCTATCTATCTACACCCAACCACGTCAATGGTTGTTCTATTCTTTTTTCTCTGTGAAATCGATCACATGTTCTTATTCTGTGTGTGTGCGGATGCGCTCCATTTCTCTCCATACAATATGTAGATAGATAGATAGATTGATTTTTGTACACTTTGTTTGTTTGATTGATTGCGTGTTGAGTAAGTATTATTTATTTGGTTTATAATTTTTTCCAATCACCAATGAAATCTGTTTGTCGAACGTGCATCCATATTTATTCCCCCCAGTCTTATTCCTCTTATTTCTCTCTCTGTGTGATTCTCCTGTGTTTCAATCCCTACTACAACTACTACTACTGCTACTCATGTATACATTTCCAATAAATCGACCGACCGATCGATCGATCGATAGATAGATAGAAAGAGTTGTGATGTTGGTACGTTAGTTAACATTGTTAGCTTTCTTATTTTGATATGTAACAAAAGAATTTAGTTACTTGAAAAGAAAAAAAAAGAATTATCACATGTTATATATTACAATGAATCACAATGCATAAAAGAGTAACTGTGTGAATGTAACTGCAATTGATATGCCAGTTTATACAGAAAGCTCGATTAGCTTTTGACAATTTACGTTGTTTATGGCGTAGGTGAGATATACGTTTTGCTGACTAAAGGACGAGTGTACTGCGTAGCAGTTCGTTCTGTTCTCCTATATGGATGCGAAACATGGCCGTTAAGGGTAGAAGATGTTCATAGGTTACTAGTATTTGATTATAGATGACTTAGAAGCATTGCTCGTATATCGTGGGACAACCGAGTAAGTAATGCTATCGTTAGGAAACGGGTGCTAAGTAAGGATGACAGACCAATAGATGAAGTAGTGAAACTTCATCAGTTGAGGTGGTTGGGACATGTGTTACGTATGGCCAACCACCGACTGCCTCGACGAGCTATGTTTTGCAGTGTAGGAATAGGTTGGAAGAAAGCTAGGGGCAGCCAAACCAAAACATGGCAGAAATCCATGAAGTCATTGAAAAGTGGATTGAGTGATTTTGGTAGATGTAGACTACCTGTTTGTGGTCCGCGAGATAAAAGTCACCAATGGTTAGAGACTTTGAACGACATGGCTCAGAATCGTTTGCAATGGCGCAAGTGCATCCATTCGTTGTGCTCTCTCAAATCCTAATCTTCTGGATTCATCAGCACCTCTACCATTGCCTTCTAACCTTATCTCATTGAACTATACTTCTTGAATAATATCTTCAAACCCTAGTCTTCTTCATTACCATCAATACGTCTACTATCTCTATCACTATGAGATTTGATTTGACATTTGCGTCTCTGTGTTAATAATGTGGTATGGCAACATGAACTGATGTACATACGTACGAAGTTCTACGTTGCAACTAACTGACTGACTGAATAAATTGGAGAGTTTCATTCACTAAGACGCCAAACCAAAACATGCCTTCAAATCCATGAAGTCACTCACTGACAAGTGAACTGAGTCATGTTAGTAGGTGTGTGTATACTACCAGGTTAGGGTGCGTGAGACCATAGTAATCGATGGCTGAATACTTTGAATGACATGTATGGAAATTGTTTGCAATGCTGCAGATGAATCCATTTTTTTCGTCTTCTGTCAAATTCTAACCTTCTGCTTTCTTCATTACGTTTATCTTCCTTTTTTAAAAATTTATTTCACTGGATTATACTTCTTGAGAATCATATCTCTGAAACTGTCACAGTTCTAATGAGAAGACGTGACCGGTAGAGTTCGACCAGAGTTAAACAATAACACCGTTGGATTCCGCCGCCTCAGTGTTTCAGGGGTTAAAGCGTTCGTGCGCAAAACCGGACGTCATGCGTTCGAATGCTGCGAGTTGCTGGGGTAGTGGAAGCGCATTGCTGATGAGTCCCACACCAAGACGAAACGGTCGTCTTTCAGCGCTTCCAGGTCTCTAATGTGATTCATTCATGATTTCTATCTATGAATATCAAGAATTGTGAATTCGACAAACCTTGTGGAAAAACATCTCATTCTTTTGCAACTAGACTAGAGTTAGAGTACTGTTCAGCTCTGGTTGATGAATTCTCTCGGATAATGAAGGAAACTGTAAAAACACGCAATGGTTTATATATATATATATATATATATATATATATATATATATATATATCGCGATCAGATTTCAGATACTGCACGTCACAACAACAACTCTGATCATGTCAATTCCTAATATGAAAAGAGAATCCGAACCAGGCAGAACATGCGGTATTCAGCGTACACTGATTTGTCACAGTAATGTGTAACTAGGTATTTGTATACAAGTTGTAGACTGACCAACGTTAAAATAAACATTCAATACCTCGAATTTCTCATCCGGGTGTGGGACTCTAGAACAAAATGCTTAACCACGATTCCACCAACGGAAATCGAATCCAGGGACTTTGGTATAATACAAAAACACTGCATCCATAGACTACTGAGTTAGTATAGCCGATGAGTCCCATAACAGAACGAAACGTCCATCCAGCGCTTCCAGGTTTCTAATGAATGTCCAACATTTATCGATTCAAGATTTCAGATTAGTATATAAGTTTGATTTCAAATAATCCGTGATATTGCTCAACTACCTCCTATCATTGTTACTGGTTAACTGCCCCATATCTAACATGTTTGAACTCCACTGGTCACAACTTTTAATTGGAATTCTTGATTGTGATATATTTGGTCTCGTATGCTATTACAGGTAAGAGGACAACGGATGTCACCTCCTGGCTACAGACACTGTGTTAGGGTGTTTTTTAAGGAACCTTTAAAGCAAGTTAGCTCAGTGTTGGTCTTAGCGATATGAGAGCGTGACCTCATAACCCAAGAGACAACTGCTTGAGGCCGGTCACACACGACTTTATTACGGGATGTTTTGCAAGTGTTATCTTCGCTCTCGTTTAAAAGGCCTTACGGACGGAGACGGAAATCCTTGCGGCAAGATAAGGTGTGACATTTTCAGGGTTGGGCTTTTTTTAACCCCTTCCTTCTTTTGTAAGGAGGCAGCATCGCTGCACACGCTAGTTATCCGAGTGAAATAGCTTACAGCTGTCACACACATCTCTCTACAGTCATCAATACAACTTCGCCCTCAAACCTTGAGATGTTGCTTGTAGTCTTGCCGTTCTCTAATCTACCTGGTTGGCATGGTAGGGACCTACAGGAACATATGTTCCAGCCAATATAGCTCGGTTTGGTCAAAACGATAGGCAACCGCGACCACCACTATGCGTCAAGTTAGCAGTTACAGTCGGGTACTACTGTAGTGAACGAGAAAACAGGTGGGGCAACCGAATTGTATTTAACGAAAATTACCGAGTTACTCAGTAAAATCATCGGAAAACCATATCGTAAATCGTTAATTTGCACAATATATCAGTACATCATATCGAACTGGACTGTTCCTGTTGCAAACAACATCAATCCATTGTCACTCACTATTCATGCGTTTCATACACAAATTCCATTGTTTTCTAACTCTTTCTTTCTTGATCTTCCCTCATCTTGTGCTGCCATACATTACGTTGACACTCACGTCATATACTACTTATAAGTAGCTCACACCACACTACTAGTATTCTGGCAATATTAATCATAATGATCACTTCTCAAAAGTCAAAATTATCAATAGTGTTAGCATACAAATAACACAATTTCGCAGCATCAAACTAAAATATTCATTGAATAAACTCTGTGTGTGCATTATATATGCATATATATATATATATATATATATATATATCTTTTTTCCTAACAAGCTGTAGATTTTTTCAATCAAATCAATATGCTCTATGGTACATTATTGGAATTTTGTACTGATGATACATGTCCTATTATGTCAGCTGGTCCAAAATATGAATATCATTGGGCTGATGGACAAACGATTAAAAAACCATTGAAATGTTCCGCTCCACATTATATTGATTGTTTAATGATATGGATTCAGAAACAATTAGAAAATGAAGCAATATTTCCATCGAAAATTGGTAAGTAAAATTGTTTTTTTTAGGTGGGTTAGGGTTTTTTTTCTGTGTGTGTGTTTCCGCGCATGCGCTGCTCAGTTGACCTTGAGATTGCAAATCCCCACTCGGAAATGTCCTTGACTGTTATTGGTTGATGTATTTTATTTTAGTACGTTAGGAAGGATTTGATTTCGATCGATTTGGTCTCGTGTGCTGTTACGGGTATGAGGGCGGTTGTCACTTCCTGGCTGCCCATACCGTGGAAGGTTGTTTCTTGAGTGACCTGAAAAGGAAGATAGATTAGTGTTGGTCTCGGAGACCTGGTTGCGTGACCGCAGAGTCCAAGGGACAACTGCTTGAGGCCGCTCACGCACGGCCTTTTCATGAGAAGTTTTTTGATTGTTAGCTCCTCTCTTGAAGGCCCTTAGTGGGCACCCTTACCGAAGGAGACGGAAATCCGTGAGTTAGGGCGAGGTGTGACATTTTTAGTGTCGACCTTTTCTAACCCTTCCTTCCTTGTGAGAACGCAGCATCGCTGCAGATGCTGCTTGTTGTCCGAGGGAAACACCTTACTGCTGTCACACCCCTCCATCACAGTCAGCAGTACGATTTCGCCCTCAGACCTTGGGTAGCTGCTTTTAGTCTCACCGTTCTCCAATCGACCTGCCTGGCATGGTAGAACCTTGAGGAACATAAGTTCCAGCCAGTATAGCTCGGCTGGGTCATCACGATAGGCAAGCTCGACCACCACGTCAAGGTAGCAGCTACGGTCGGGATTTTAGTATGTTATGTTTGTGGATGTCTCAAGGACATTTCAATCACCGTATAAATAAGCTCGATTTGCGTGCTTGTAAGATCTCGTATTTTCTGGGAGCTTGTAGAATACACTTTCTACGTCTTGTCAAGACTTCTTCCTTTATTTAGTGGGGCCTTTGGACGCTCTGATTAGAGTAGCCTATCGTGTCAATGGATGATCATTAGTCTTCGCTCTCGTTTACCGACTAAGATGAACTCGTAATAGTTTCAAGCATATCAGTTGATGACCATATCAGTAATGAATAGATTTCTTACAAATTATTATTACTATTATTACATTGATTGGTATTAAATCTAAAAGCTTTCAAATGTAATGGTTAGGGTTGTGACTGGAAAGAGTCCTCGCTCTCTCTTTTTCTCCAAATACTCTCACATGGCCACATGTATGTTTATAGCCATTGACAAGAGAATCCTAATCACTGACTTCTTGTGGCCTAAATGTTGTCTACGAAGATGGAAAGGATGAAAAGTGGATTAAAATGTTTGACGAATCAACCTAGAAGATTTGAGAAACCTTCGTTCCAAACGAGTGACAGTGTACACATTGGCTCCGCAATCTTAAGGAATGAAATAATATTTGAATGTATTATTGGTCACCGACTACCATGCAACTATATCTTCTGATGTGTTATTCCATTGTATTGTGAATTAGACTTGTAGGTCATTGGGTCGGTGATTAGTAGTCCCCTGAGTAAAACCATCTGCTTAGGTTTGGGAGCCAGACTAACTGAATAATATATGTGGCTCATAAATATTTAAGTGTCCCTTTGTGCCAATGTTTATTTCTCTAAATATAGAAATAAGTTAATCTTTGGACTGGTCACAGTTAGACATTGAGACTTTTGATTGCCAGCTCATTGGTCCAGAGGTTATGCGTTCGTATGCAAGACCGAAGGTCCTAAGTTCGATTCCTGTAAGCATCAGGAAGAATATCTGGAACTTAAAACAACTATCAACTAACATCAGAGTCAGAAATTGTAATGCAAACGACAAGAACAGTTTTACTGTATGGGGTGAAAAGTTAGAGAACTACCAAAGCCATTATCTAGAAGTGTTTATTAACAGTTTTCTACGCAGAATAATTCGTACCCGTTGACTAGACACTATCAACAGCATCCTACTTTGCGAGAGAACAAACCAAATTCCATTGAAGAATTAGAATAGGAAAGAGAGTCGAAGGTAGGTAAGACACACATTGCGGAAAGCACCCAAACTGTCTAACAAGGTAAGCCCTGACACTGAATCCTCAATGCGAAAGAAAAAGTGAAAGATCGAAAAACACAGTATGTCAGGAGATGGAGACAGACATGAGAAGAACGCACAACGATTTGATAGAACTAGAAAGAAAGGCTCAGAACAGAGTAGATTGGAGAATGCTGGTCAGCGGCCTATGCTCTGTTGGGGCTAACAGACATCAGTAAATAAGGGATTCAAAATAAATGACTATAACATTTAATTTATTCATTGTTCTATCTTCATTAAAAAATCTGGAATGTGATACCGATCTCGACCTGTGAAGCTGTCTGGGTGTAACTGTAGACTATAAGAAATTTTAGAGTTAACCACGCCAAACACATAACACCAATTCATAAAGTCATAGACCATTTGTACTAAGCTATATTCATAACTAACCTGAACTGATGTACGTACGTACAAAGTTCTACATTGTAATTGACTGACTGAATACTGAATACTGTTACAATCTTCACTATTCTAAGATTTTGACCTGACAGCCTCATCTTTCTGTCTATGTTATAATCTCAGCTCGGATACAGAAGGCTCGATTGGTTTTTACCAACCTGCGTCACTTATGGCGAAGGCGAGATATTCGCTTTTTAACCAAAGGACAAGTGTAATGCGCAACAGTTCGCTCTGTCCTACTGTACGGATGCGAAACATGGCCGTTAAGAGTAGAAAACCTTCGTAGGTTACTAGTCTTCGATCATCGATGTCTCCCGAAGCATTGCTCGCGTATCATGGGACGACCGAGTAATCAATGCTGTTGTCAAGAAACTGGTGCTTGGTAAGGATGGCAAACCAATAGATGAAGTGGTGAAACTTCATCAGTTGAGGTGGTTGGGACATGGGTTATGTATGCCTAACCACCGACTGCCTCGATGAGCTGTTTTTTGTGGTGTAGGAGTAGTTTGGAAGAAAGTTAGGGGCGGTATTGGTCAAACCAAAAGATGGCACAAATCCATGAAGTCACTGACAAGTGGACTGAGTTATGTTGATAGATGTAGGCTACCTGGTTGGGGTCCGCGAGACGTAAGTCATCAATGGTTAGAGACCTTGAACGACATGACTCAAAATCGTTTGCAATGGCGCAGGTGCATCCACTCTTTGTGTGCTTTTTAATTCTAACCTTCTGAATTCCTCATAATCTCTATCTTTGTCCTTCTAAATTTATCTTATTGAATTATACTTCTGGAATCATATCTTCGCTCCCTAATCTTCTCCATTACTGCTTATAATTCTACTATCGCTATCACTCTTGGCTTTGAACTGACAATTGCGTCTCTGTGCTGACGTGGTACGGCAAAGTGAACTGATGTACTTATGTATGAAGTTCTGCGTTGTATCTGTCTGTCTGCTATAATGGGCTATGGTAACTTGCACTCTGTTTATACGTGTATGTACCAAGTTTGGCGTTGCAACTGACGTATAGTTAGTTCTTCAACTAGCGTACATCCACAGAGATTGTTGATTTTACTTTCATATACCCATATATATATATATATATATATATATATATATATATATATATATATATATCAGTCAGTCAGATGCAACGTAGAACTTCGTACGTAAGTACATCAGTTCATGTTGCCATAACACATCAGCACACAGAGATGCAATTGTCAATTCAAATACGATAGTATTAGTAGAGGTAGTAAAGGTATTAGAAGTAATCCGAGAGGTTAGGATTAGAAGATATTATTCACGAAGTATGATTCAATGAGATAAGTTTAGAAAGTCAAAACTAGAGGTGTTGAAGAATCCAGAAGATTGGGATTTGAGAGAACACAAAGAATAAATGCACCGGCGCCATTGCGAACGGTTTTGAGCCATATCATTCAAGGTCTCTAACCATCGATTATTATCATCTCGCGGACCCCAACGAGGTAGTCAACAACTACCGATTTGGCTAAGTCCACTAGTCAATGACTTCATGGATTTCTGCCATGTTTTGGTCTGGATATATATATATATATATATTTTAATCGTATACAGTCAGTCATCCATAACGTCGTAGAACTTCGTACGTACGTACAGCAGTTCACACTGCTGCTATACCACATTTTCACAGAGGGACGCAATGGTCAATTCAAATCCTATAATGGTTGATGGGATAGTAGAAGTATCAGCTGTAATGAAGAAGATTAGGATTTGAATATATATTATTCAAAGGAGTATAATTCAGTAAAATAAATTTCAGACGTGAAAGACCACACAGTTGATAAGAAATTCAGAAGATTCGTATTTCAGAGAATACAAACAATAGATGCACGCATGTGCGCTATTTATTGCAAACGATTTTAAGCCAATTTCATTCAAACTCTCTAACAATAAATGTTCATGTTAAAATCATTCGATTAAATCTGTTGTGTTTTTTTTCAATCAGTCGACTGACATAATCAGGTCAATTGGAAGTTATGTTATATTCTCGTTTTTGATTTTTTGAAAACCACATAAAAGAAATGATGAGCGTTTCGAATAATAATGTGAAATCATGTGATCCAATTACTTTGTAGTAGTTGTGTTGTTAGTACGACGTCTTTCTCAAGGTCACTCACTCTCTGTGATGGATGATGGCCTTAGTTTGCAGTTGTTAGTACATCAAACTTTAAAAATTTAAATAAAAGGTTATTGATGCTCTAGAATTTACCGAAAAAGTTTTAAATCATTAATTGATTTAACGATGCACATACAGTACCTTGAATAAAGGGATTGAACCCAGGAACTTCAGTCTCGCTAGTCCCGACCGTAGCTGCTAACTTGACGTGCTGGTCGGGCTTGCCTATCGTGATGACCCAGCCGAGCTATACTGGCTGGAACATATGTTCCTGAAGGTTCTACCATGCCAGGCAAGTCGATTGGAGAACGATGAGACTAAAAGCAGCTACTCAAGGTCTGAGGGCGAAGTCGTACTGCTGACTGACTGCAGAGGGGTGTGACAGCAGTAAGGTGTTTCCCTCGGACAACAA